CCGGCAACGGCAATGTTGCTCACTTGTGGCTCGGAGCCAGAAGTGCAAAAGTCACGCTCGGCTGAACACGGCGCTGAACCTTGCTGCGGCCCATCCACGTAAGCAGACACAAAGCGGACGTGCAGTCCATCAGTGCAAACTTGGGCTTGCGCGCCGGCAACGGCAGTGTTACTCACTTGTGGCTCGGTGCCAGAACCGCAAAAGTCACGCACAGCTGAACACGGCGCTGAACCGTGCTGCGGTCCATCCACGGACGCAGACACAAAGCGGACTTGCAATACATCGGTGCAAACTTGGGCTTGCGCACCAGCAACGGCAGTGCTGCTGACTTGTGGCTCGGTGCCAGAAGTGCAAAAGCCACGTGCAGCTGAACACGGCGCTGCACCGTGCTGCGGTCCATCCACACACGCAGACACGAACCGGACTTGCCATTCATCAATGGGGCTTTGGGCTTGCGCACCGGCAGCGGCAGTATTGCTCACTTGTGGCTCGGAGCCAGACAGCGAGCCCATGGGCAAATTGCTGGTCATCCTTGTCTTGACATGCGACAATCCTCCATTGGGTCCTAACACCAGGACATCGCCTGGCTCCTCGACAAGCGATGCAAAAATGGAATGCTGAAATTGGCTTGCGCTGGCAGGCTCACTGAACACACCTGTCTGATCTGACGAGTCAAAGGGCGGTGATTGAGCCAACGAGAAAGCTGGGTGTGAACACAACAATGTGTCCGCACGCTGAATGAAAATCATGGCCACGCACATGAGCGCCTTTGCCTTCAACACTTGCCTTTCTGACTTGCAGGCTGCCTTCGCAGCGAGGCATGCTGCCAACAGAAGGCCAACGGCTTGTGCCAACAACACCTGAGGAAACAACACTATGCAACGGCGCCAACTTTGAAAGAAAGTAACGAAAGGCACAGCAGAGTGTGGGCGGCCAGGGCCTTTGCTGCCGAGGCGGCGCAGAAGGGGGGCGAGAGTGTGGCAGGAAAGGCGGGCTCGGGGGAAGGTCGTCAGCCATCATCTGCAGGAAGAACATTGGGGCGGGCATGAGGGCAGGCATGAGGGCAGGCACGGCATATGGCGCCGGCCGCACGCTGTTCAGGCAGCGGCCAAGCTGAACGACACAGGCAACACTGACCGCAGCGCAAGCCAGCAATCTCAGCTTCGAGCGCCGTGCGCGTTTCCTTTCTGACTTGAAGGCTTCCTTCCCAGCAAGGGCTACTGCTAACAGCAGGCCAACAGCTTGCGCCAACAACAGCTGAGGAAACGGCAGGCCAACAGCTTGCGCCAACAACAACTGAGGAAACAACACTATGCAACGGCACCAACTCTGGAAGAAAGCGACAAAAGGCACACCAGAGTGTGGCAGGACAGCGCCTTTGCAGGTCTCATCGTTTGACTGCCGAGTGTGTGGCAGGAAAGGCGGGCTCAGGGGAATGTGGTCAGCCATCATCTGCGGGAAGAACATTGGGGCAGGCATCAGCGCGGGCACGGCGTATGGCACCGGCCGCGCACTGTTCAGGCAGCGGGCAAGCTGAGCGACACAGGCGACACTGATCGCAGCGCAGGCCAGCAAACTTAGCTTGGAGCGCCGTGCACGTGCGCCACTCAATGCCTCCAGGTGCGCCAGCGCGCGCGAGGGCAAAACACACATGACCAGCAGCCTGCCTTCAGCTCCACTTTGTCAGCGTTTCCCTCCAGAAACATCATCCTGGGCAGCGCGTCAAAGGGCAAATGAACGGGCAGCTCAAAACCTCGAAAAAAGCACCTGCCGTTGACACGTAAAACCCCAAAACCAGTGAAGCGTTGGGGAAAGAAACTAGCCCTTCGCAGCTTGCGCTCTCACTGCAAGCGCCTCCTCTGCAGCGCCGAGCTTTGCCTCTGCGTCGGTCGCCTCAGCACTCAGAACAGCGCGTTCAGCCGCAAAAGGGCGAGGCTTGGACCCAGGAAGTCAGACCCAGCTGATATGATTTTTGTATTTGCTGACTGCATGGCCCTCAACCCAAATATTGGATGGTCCGACTTTCTGGGTAAAAAGTTCGTCTCAAGGACAATTGTCAGCTTTGGTCTGGGGCTACAGCGTCCTGAGCTCGAACCTGCACTCCGGGCGCTGCAGGCAAGTGGCAAAACGCAGGATACGGTGTGTTGGCAAGCTGCTCGCCACACAAAACATTGCCGCAACGCTAGGGCCTCCTCTTCAGTCTGCACTTCCGCCCAAGATCCATCCTCCTTGGTAGGATGACACGCGTGCGCACAGTCTTTCAGTCAATTTGGGCAACACTATATCGAGCGACTCAGCCCTGTTTCCCTTAGCAAGGCCTCCCAATCGTCCTGAGACTGCTCCTGAGCCCAGAGGACACGAACTCATGTTTGTTGAGTACCGGGGCTGCCTCTTGGCACAGAAACGCAATTTGGGGATGTGTCACACGTGGCCCCCTACAAGTGGACACAAGTGGCTAGCTTGCTTTGGGATTCCTGTTAGAAACACGGCTCCTACTTTT